TGACTTCAATAAATTAAAATTATTATATCCGGGATACATTACTTTGTAATTAAAGTCTTAGATTTTGTTCGGTTTAGTACATTCAGTTTTTACACGTGGTAGGCACTCACTTTCCCTGCATAAAGAAGGTTGGCCAAATCCTACCAGACGATGAAACGATGGCGTCACTATATGCCATATTTATGAAAAATATCCTTATTTTTTAAGGTCTTAAAAACACGAAAAATACATCTCTAAGTAGCCACAAAAAAAGTTATCCTTTTATTTTTGTTTTTGTAACTGTTGCGAAATTATTTAAAACTAGCTTCAGCCCGCGACTTCGTACGCGAATCCTGTTGCTTATGTCAGCGACTACGGGGTCGTCAAAATCGAAGATCTGAAACGTCTGATGTTGAATTCTAAGAGCCCGGGGACGGGAAAACAACCTGATTCGCGAGACGATTCGAGACGTTCTAGATCTTTCATTTTTGTAAGTCAACAGGAAATGCCCGTCAGACTAAACAACTTTTGCTAAGACGTCATTCCTATATATGTTATAGTGTCGCTGGGCTGTGGATGGAGTGTAACTCCTTGTGTGTTATTAAGTTAATATATTGGTAATATTGTTTAGATCACGTTCACATGAGGCTTAAGTACTTATAGAACAAAAATACTTCAGCGCAAAGCTTCCGGGTAAACTATGTTCAAAGTTGACCCGTCCGGCACATGAACATAAAGATTTCTAGAACTGCTAACCCGGGAAAGAGCGACGTACAACTGACCATGCGAGAAACAACTCACACCGAGATCTACTCCAGCAACACGAAAAATCTGCCCTTGAGCCTTATTAATTGTCATTACTTAACACAATGATACTGGAAATTGCGTTCTTTTAAATTGGAATGGAAAATTATTTGGTATTATGGGAAGTCTGGGAATAAAGACGGTTTCTCCTGCACCGCAACCTGTTAAAATTTGAGCCTCGATTATATTTTGTTGCAACTGGGTTACTTTTAGCCGAGTTCCATTGCAAAGTTCTGGTGGTCTTAAATTTCGGAGCAGAATAATCGGAATGCCAATTTTTAAACAAATTTCATGAGAAGGAAGTCCGGGCATATTTCAAAAATTTAAAAATTCTATCGGGTAAATAGTGGCTTCTTGTTTATCGACCATTCTATTTATTGAACTATAAACTTTGCTTTCCCCTGTATATTCGACAGTATTTTGTTATTAATCTCAGATGCCTGGTCATTGCGAGGAGTTAAAAAGGATCTTTCGCATAGCTAAAAATTGTCCATATTTAATATAATTGTTACGTCACCGTAAACCGACGATATAAGATGTGGTTGGGATTGCACTATACAACATAACTCAGGCGTCAGAATAAGTTTTCCTTGGTGTAGTTGTGGATAGGTACCTTCCCCAATCTTTAATAATTTATCAGAAAATTGACGATCATCCGGGTTATCTCCAGTTCTCACTCGCATGTTTATAGTCAGATGTACCGATTGTAAATCACGCCACAAATAAGAGCTTTTTAGGCAAGACCTAACCTCATCAGCTCGGGTTCCCCGTGGTATTACCGGTAAGGTTTGTCTGTCTACCGCTTCTACTCTTTTTCGGTGGGCCATCGTACATTCATCCCAAATGATTAAATTAATAAGCACGGCTTGTTAAAATCAATTATTGTCTGTCAATAAGGTCGAACACTCTGAACGTCTATTCGTATCAACAGCCAAATATTGTATGAAGCTTGCACTCTTTTTTTTTTTTTGCGCCCGAAGCAATTGGAAAAGGGCTACCCCGAAGGGAGGCAGAAAATGCATTACGCATACCACGATGGCCGGTCCATCGTGGTTATGAGGGACTCACTACCTACAAGGGGAACCTAAGTGATACCCTCTAAAAACTGCCTTTGGGGACTGGCAACCAGCTGTTGAAAGCTTCACATGCCGTATCGTAAAGCGACCCTCTTTTGGGAAAAGAGGGCGCAGGCGGCTATAAGCCGCTGAGGGAGTGCCTGGGAAGGCAAATTAATTATGAAGCTTGCACTCGGACCCCCCGCCTTTTTATACCTCCCGCCGCGAGCCGCGTCGAGCGCGGCGACCGTTACACAAAAATAATCCTTATAGCATGATTCAGTATTCACGCGCGATGGCTTATTAGCGTATTTCATGTATAACTTTGGTATTTCTATACCGATTTCTATGATTTTTTTTTTATTGAATAGATAATAATGTTAAGTTTTTTTAATTAGGGATGAGTGAGAGTGTTATAAACGTAAGAGTAGACAAATATAATCAGAAAGCTCCGAACTGCTATGCTATCGGGAGTTACACGTGTTATTGTGAGTCAACCATAAAAGATAGAAATATGCTGTCCTGGGATATTTTTTATATAATTTTAAGAAAAATATTTCCGTTATACATGATTTCTGTGTAGCTTTAACCATTAAGGCTGCACACGCGACGGAAGCTTAAAAAATGGAGTAATTTCTCCCGTTTCTCCAACATTTACCTTCACTGCTCTGCTCCTATTGATTGTAGCGTAATGAAAAGTATACTATAACCTGCCCAGGAGTATGAAGAATGATTGTACTAAGTTTCGTTAAAATTCGTCGAGTAGTTTTTGTTTCTATAACGAACATACAGACAGACAGACAAAAATTTTACTGTTTGCATTTTTGGCATCAGTATCGATCACTAATCACCCCCTGATAGTTATTTTGGAAATATATTTCATGTACAGAATTGACCTCTCTACAGATTTATTATAAGTACCTATAGATAATGGTTTCTAAACGTTCCTAATAATGATTCATTTCACGTATGAAAGGACTTTGTATTTAAAGACTAATTATTCAAGTTTTTCTGAATAGTTGTTAATTGTAATTCAATTCAATTTGTATGTAGGTATCAAATCAACTACTATACTGATTTATTATGTACTAGATTCATGTCATAAAAATGAATATGTAGCTTCATAGTAAGCTATGCGTTTTGTTCAATTACGTACAACGGAACATCATTTGTCATCGTCAACTCGTCAAGGTGCACAATCTGTGGTCATCGATCGACATTGATTGTCACCCGGTAATCATCTATATATCTTATTTGCTTCACTCGTTGTTATGGATTGTGATACGTACTGTACTATTTTAGATTTCCTTATGTTGTTTAGACCTCGGCATTGTTTTACGGACTAATAACTACCACTTATAGTCTGTGATTTTGATTTCTGGACATCGATTATGCATCTTGAATATTTGTGAAAGACATCATGCAGACTACAGCTACACAACAACGACAACTAGCTCTGCGATTGCTATGTGTTAATTGTAACTTATGCATTGATACACTTCGCCGCCATCTAATTTTTGAGCTTGATACCAGAGTAATATCTAAAATCCGCGAGTGGAATTCTTCAATAATAGTACATATGTACATACTTACTTATTTTATTACACTGACATAAACCATCACACACAATCGGACATTATAGTACAAATCTAATTCTTATTTTAGATCACTGAAGAAGATTACATATGTGATGTTAACCTCAAAAGTATTGTTGACGTTATTATAAAAATTGTGGCTATTTAGATGTGATTTTTAAACGGGATGGTGTTTACAACATAAAAACAAACCAATCTAGCTATACTTTATTTTGGGACATGAAAAATAAAAGTGAAGTCCAGCTCCTATAGAAATTTGGCCATTTTCTTTGTTTCGCCTTTCTTTTTTTTTAACTTCTAACGCGCGCAATAGGGCTCATTTTATTAAATTAACTTTAAAACAAAGTAGCGTAAGTAAAGCGTAACGTAAGTAGGAGATCTTGTGCCTCTAACACTAGGTAATTTACATCAGGCACTATACGAGATTGTAATAATGAATACCTATTGCTTAGTTGACTCTTAAGATATTTAGCAGTTTCCATAACGCTGCGTGTTGGAGGAAAATACTGTAAGAGTCCACTGCTGGAAGAGGGATTCCACCATAAGTGCAGTTGGCCCATGATCGTCACCTTTAGCTGGCGTATTGGTATTGTTATATTGGTATATGGCTTATATTCTGCATTATATATTTAGACGTGGTAAAGCCATGCTGTAGCTATATTAATGATATTATAGTTGTAGCACGAATGGGTCGGCTCGAACGCGGAAGGACCACGCTCTCACATAATACCAGCGTAAAGTAGAAGCTTAACGCTGCTGTGTTTCGTATGGTGAGTGTAGAGAACCGGAGACTCTTCATACTGGAAACGAGGCATTCCATCTTAGTCCTCAGGGGTGACAACGCATCTACATTTTGATACGTAACCGAGGATAGATGGAGATGTCTATGGGTCACAGCAACCACTTACCATCAGGTGGACTGTGTGCTCGTTTGTCACCCTAATTCTATATAAAAAAACCCCACTTTGTTGGATGGTTACACCGCTTTCACTTGATGGGAAGGAAAATAAGGAAAATAGGGCAAGGATTCGTCATGTACTGGTGGCGCAAGATAATTTACTACCCAATATCATCTTATGAGTCGTAAAAGGCGATAGTTTAAATCTGAATTAGGAGATGAAAAGCAGCAACTTTCTGACAAAACCTTAAAATATGAAAAAAAAAACAACGAAAACTATATTCCGTACGAAGCAACGACAGGCTGTAATGATGATAATGATGATGAGGAGAAGGATATCGTGAAATAAATTGGCGTTATAGAAATATGGTGGCAAAAGTTTATAATACTTATTCCCTGACCCGGAAGGAAATAAAAGAGTTATTAGTTTGATAAATACTGGACAAACGGTTACGATACAAGTATAACTCTGTAATATAACTCTAGATATATTCATAATGAACAATTTATATTATAGGTTACGGGAAATTTGCTGAACGATTTTTAAATCTCCTCCAGAAAAAGCTTATAAACAAATGCTGGTGGAGCAATAACTTTTGTTAATTGAAGACCATAAAATGTTGTCTATCGTGATTTATATGTGCTCACTAAGTAAAATTTTACATTAGGTTGGTGCTGCGCTCGTTGGTTGTAGTTGCAGTATGGACTGTCCTCCTCCACGTACCCACACACGCTGAACTGCTTGCGTCGACGCTGGTGCCGTCATGTCCGCCACAGTGCATCTGTCTTTCACAATCACAGGTAAAAAATAATTGTGTTCTGCTTTGATACTGTTATTTAAGCAGTGTAGCTATAGTACTTTACAGTTACCAGTTTAATTTAATGTTGAGTAACGTTTTATTGGTATTTGGATTTTCAAGATAGAGGAAATATGTGTGTCTATGAGCTACCTCAAAGGTACTAGCTATTTCATCTCTAAATTATTATTAGAGAATGATTTAAAAAAATTATGGAAACAAATATGAATGAGAGTAAAAAAATAAAAAAGTACAATGTACTGAGGGTAGAACTTGAAATCCCTACTTGTTTGTAACTTACCGTGGATCAGTTCTATGGATGAGTTTTTCTACGAATCTTAACCGGTTTCTGTCTGGTTACTCTTTTAGTAACTGTAAAAGAAGGTTATATTACGGGAAGGCTGCCCTATGACATATCGTGATAGGTAGTGCTACTGTTGGTTAGCATGCCTCATTTATTTTGGTGTTATATTGTATTTACTTCTAAGTTCTTACTAATATTATGATTACGAAAGTGTGTTTATTGGTTTATAGGGTTCCGTACCCTAACGGTAACCAACGGGACTCTATTATTGAGCCTCCGCTGTCCGTTCGTCCGTCCGTCCGTCTGTCTGTCTGTCAGCGGGCTGTATCTCATGATCCGTAACAGGTAGATATTTGAAAGGACATTGTAAAAACTCGCCTAAGAAGCAACATATATTTGACAATTACCAAAATTTTTATCCTTAATTTTTCATTAGATAACTTTCAATAGATAGTGACGGACACTTCTGAATCGTGAAATCAAAATAAATAGGACTTGATATGGATATATGGACCCCTGTGGTTTGGCCAATCGTACAATACCTTCACTAACATATTTCAGAAATTGTTATAAACCCAAATATATTATGAAAACGTTAATATTTTAAAATATACTTCAGATTAATATATGGACCCCTGTGGTTTGGCCAATCGTACAATACCTTCACTAACATATTTCAGAAATTGTTATAAACCCAAATATATTATGAAAACGTTAATATTTTAAAATATACTTCAGATTAATATTTGCCACAAGGAACTGGGATACAGTAAAATCATCTGTTTTCATTTAAAATAACAATATTATTGTACTCTCATTGGCCAAATCAAATCAAATCAAATAAAAAAAAATGATTTCTTATTGGCCAAATCAGCATTGTGCCACGCAAAAAAAAAAAGTTCATAAAGTTGACAGATGACAAGACGTTAAAATAGATAGACGTCAGACGTGCGATCGTACCGAAAATATTTGCAGAAATGTATTTTTTCGTTTGAAAAAATACATTTCTGCAAATATTTTCGGAATCTAAGTGCACTGTGCACTGGGCACGGTTTGTTATGCGATAAGTTTACCTAATCACAACCTGAGGTTTATTTACCGTATAGTTCTAGGCTAAGACTGAACTGCTTACAGTACAGTACAGTACTGCAATAACGTAATGTTTCATAAAAATAAAACATAACCTCAAAATCTCTATGATAACAGCTAATATCTATGTTTTCAGAAGTGTCCGTCAGGAGTTATTGCTCTGACATACAATTAAGTGTAATTTCGAACTTAAAAAGGCATTTTTTTCACTGTTGGTTCTTAGGCGAACATTGTATGGACGCAGAACAATGTCATTTCACAGAATGTGTATTTTTTTTATAGGAGAGGGGGCAAACGAGCATGCGGCTCACCTGATGGTAAGTGACTACCGCCGCCCATGAACAACTGCAACACCAGGGAGGGAATTGCAGATACGTTGCCGGCCTTTTAAAAAGGAGTACGCTCTTTTCTTGAAGGTCCCTCAGTCGTATCGGTCCGGAAAAATCGCTGATGGTAATCAATTCCACAAGGAAGTCGTGCGAGGAAGAAAACATCTTCTAAATCGCACAGTGGTGGACCGCCAATCATCCAGATGGTGTGGATGGTATCGGGAGTTCTGCCGCGATGTGCGTTCGTGAAATTTGGCGGCTGGGATTAATCCGAACAATTCCTCAGAGCACTCCCCATGGTAGATGCGAAAGAAAATGCAAAGGGATGCAACATCTCATCGCAGTGCCAATGAATCGAGCCGATCGGAAAGGGCTCGGTCGTCGACGATTCGAGCCGCTCTGCGCTGGATGCGGTCAAGTGGAAGGAGCTGGCACTGGGGAGCCCCTGCCCAAAGATGGGAACAGTATTCCATGTGAGGCCGAACCTGCGCCTTGTAAAGTTGCAGGCGGTGTGCCGGCATGAAATACTGTCCCGCTCTGCTGAGCACGCCAAGCTTTTTAGAGGCCAATTTGGCCTTGTCTTCCAAGTGACCACGAAACTGTACGTCACTCGATATGTCGACTCCGAGGATACCGATACTGGCTGAGGCAAGAAGGCTGTGCCTTGAAACTGAGGAGATACGACAAAGGGGCTGTATAGTCTTCTCTTGGCTGTATAGTCGTAAATATAACTTCATGTGTAGGGCATCGCTCCAACGTTGCTCAACGATCGATAGACTGCAGTTAAAATAACAGTTATCAGTGTTTAGACTGTCACTTGATCTTGCAACCGAAGAAACGACAATGTTGCCCACACCGCAATAAATGTTTCCTTACATTTACTGCAGTGTGGGCAACTTGAAATTGCGTCCTTAAATAGACAGTTATGCTGGCAGTTGTTAGTTAAAAGTATAAACTTTTCTGAAGTTAGTGATAAATAAGACACATAGTTTAGGTGTTAGTTACTGTGACAGTACGATATAGGTGTCATGTTATAAACAAATTGAAATCTACGCGAAGGGAGTCCACGATACAAACTTTTTGAAACGATGACAGTGCTGGGTTGTGGCAATAAAAATATTATTTCCTACTACTACGCGAACTAAGTCGCGAGCAAAAGCAGCAAAACACGATTGCGTAGATTTGTTTCTGAGAAAATATTTATTTTCTTTATTTATTGAAATATATTTGAATCAATCTCAAAACTGTTTTACGTGGTAGATCCATGCTGCAGCTATATTAGTAGTATAGTTGTAGCGCGAATGGGTCGGCTCGACCGTGGAAGGACCACGCTTTCACAGAGTACGAGCGTAAAATAGCAGCTTAACGCTGCTGTGTTTCGTATGATGAGCGTAGAGAACCGGAGATCCTTTTTACTGGAAATGAGGCATTCCATCTTAGTCCTCATGGGTGACAACGCATCTGCATTTTGATTTATAATAGAGTATAGATGTAGATGTCTATGAGCCGCAGCAGCTACTTAGCATCAGGTGGACTATGTGCTCGTTCGTCACCCTTATCCTATTAAAAAAAAAACTCGCCGTAAAATAAAAAGTTTCATACAAATTGTAACAACCCTATTTCACCATGTTCACAAAAGGAAGTTATTGTCCCAATTTCTTCTAAGTCCAGCTGTTTGGGCTATGCGCCTTAATATAATATTTTTCATACAAGCTTTTTAACTTTGGGTTGAATCATCAAAAATCTTTTCTTAATGGATGTTTACGTTATAAAATTCAGATAACCTACTGTCACAATTTCGGATTTCTACGTCAAGCGATTTGCGGTATGCGTTGTATATCCAAAATTAATTGTATAACGTCATATAAAGCTGTATCTTTTTGTTGCAGGTCGTGTGTAACAGTGCAACACTTCGCGGAGTACCTGCTGCGTTGAGTCCTAGTGTGATGCAACTATCATTATCACGAGCTGACCTACGTGTCCTGCGTTCTGACGCCTTTGCACATCTAAGGCAATTGCGCCGTCTTTCTCTGGACGCTTGTAATCTCACAAGAATCAAACCGTTCGCATTTCGTGGTCTACCGCGACTCAACGAGCTCTATATACAACACTCGCCACTAACTACAGTTGATGCATTTGCCTTTGCCGCGCTGCAAAATATCAGCTCGATAGTTCTAACATATAATAAGATCGCTCAAATCGAGGGGTATGCTTTTGCAGGAACCAATTTCATAAAACTAATTTCCCTCCGTAATAACCCAATTAAGCGGATCCTTGCACATGCCTTCTCAGGTTTGAATGACGTGAATCAAATAGAATTTCCTTCTGGTATAAGATCACTAGAGCCACAGGCGTTCGCCGGCCTCGAAGGTGTAGGTGTTTTAGAGCTGGCATATATGGACTTACCTTCACTACTTCCAGATACTTTCTTTGGCATGACGCGCATTGGACGACTTGCTCTACGAGAATCGGACCTTGGAGTAATAAGGGCCGGTGCCTTCGACGGTTTACGATATGTAGATATTCTAGAGGTCTGTAATAATAAAATTGACGGCGTAGAAGAATTGTCGTTAGTACGGAATAATAGCGTGCGTACATTTAAAGTAACCGGCAATCATATGTTGGAATCTCCAGAGGCGGTTGTTCTGGAAGTAGACAATATTGTAATACGCGGGAACCATTTGCCATGTGAGTGCGGTCGCGATCCCCTGGCAAATCCGTTAGCTTTAACACAAGATTTTGCCGATGAAAATTATTGTATATCGCCTTTGAAAGTGCGTGGGCGTAGTTTATCTAGTGCAGCAGGTGCAGTGTGCCGTGGCGAAGGTGGTGGAAGTGCACGTGCTCGCGCCGCTGTTGGTGCAGGGCATGCAGCCCGCTCCGTATATCCACTCGCTCCGCCACGGTTAACCCTCACAATAGCTACGATCGCTTTTCTTACTAACAGCTAACCGCCCTCGGTGTACAATTATATTTGTGTTTATGGGTCTGTAAATATTGTATGATAAATGATTATAGTAATGCCAAAATTAACATTGAATGGGTCCGTTCATTCAGTATACGATGGACCATGATTAAAACTTACCTTTGGAAAATTGTGTTTTATTTGAAAGTTTATTCAAAAGAGTCTTTGAAGGAAAACTGAGCTTTGCTTATAAGCTGAGATAAGTTTAAATAAAAAATATTATACGAATATTCGAAAATGGAATATATTTTTTGGTTTAAAGTTCAAAAATTACTCGTAAAGTCAATAATTTTTACTAAATTTGTATTTCTTGATACGTCAATTTAGGCTTGTTTAAAGCCTCAATATAAATACTCTAACTTTAAAGCTCTTAAGAACGTCTCAAATTTATATTGGTTTGAAAAACAACACCTCAGAGAAGAACCGACAACAAACTCTGGATCTTTAATTTTTTCAAACGTCATGTTACAATTTCATTGCCGAATCAATGTCAAATGTATATTATTATTTTTAAATGCCAATTTTTAACAATGTATTATCCAACCAGTAGCCAACAGATTTGTAAGTGCATATTAACACTGGAATTCTGGAATTCGTAATCAAGATGGGGAGATTCCCTAGGAGACTATTTATATTCGACCTTTAAGCTATTTCAGAGACAAAACAAACCATTTTAACAGATGTCAGATTTCAGTTTGACTATCAAACAATGGCCTATCTCATACCTTCATACATTGACTTATATATCTTAAAATTAAAAACGTATGTTCGATTTCAGTAAACGAGTTTTTTTTATCACATACCGATCCGTTATCGATACCGTTACCGTTTCAGCCTATTAAAGTGTACTGCTGAACATAGTCCTCCCCATAGATTGCCTCATAGGGGGGATATTTGCCATAGTTGTCACGCTTGGCAAGAGGGCTGGCAAGTGCAGTTTTTATATAGTTGTTATTAGGAAGATGCTGCTGCCCATCTCCTATTTGTTTCCCTCTGTCGCCTCTTACGACAGATGCATCATTGTCATCAATATAGAGACCTATTTTATAATATGCCTTTTTTAACAGAATTTTGCGTATGTTTTCTCCCTAAGTACATAATTTACAAAAATAAACAACAACGGTAGTTTAAAAATAAATTTGTAAAAGTCGAGATGCGATTCGTGAGGCCAGTCATAAATTTCTTTTATAAAATTGAAATGACACATGAACTTATAGTCAATCTGATGGTAAGCAGTCCATGGACTCCTGTAACAACTTCAAATAAAGAAGGTTTCAGATACGTTGTCACGTCTTAGGTCTACGTTGGGATACCCTGTAATAATGCTAGCTCTCTTTACCCATTAAACCGGAACACACTGCTGCTTGACGGCAAAATACGTTAGAAGGTGGTGCCTATCCAGACGGACTCATAGACAGAAAAGGAGTCCCACCATCTTAGTCTAGTTTACACTATCATTTCCATTCTGGCTGCAGATCCGCACAGTAAATACACTACATGACATGATACTGTGAAACTAAGTAAAGCAGACTAATTTAGCTGTTGTATATATTGTATTGAAATAAAATAAAATAAAATATGTTAAATTACAACAGAAAAGTAATTTGCTGTCTTCATATCGATATTAAGAATCGATTCACAATTTAATAATAATTCGTAGGGACTGATACTAGGTCCAAAGCCATGGCATTATTACCATCACCATTTCAGCCAGTCAAAAATCCAGCTGAACATAATCCCTAAGTCCCTCCTAGATTATTCATAGAAGAGATATTTGCTATATTTGACGCGCGTGGCAAGTGGGTTGGCAACCGAAATTTTATGTTATTGTTCAGCTGTCATCAGGAAGACGTTGCTGCCCATCTCCTGGTTCAGTTTCACTCCATGGCCTCTAATGACAACGCGTAGGTTTAAGAATATCCACTACCCCATTTCATCTCGTGGGTGTCGTAAGAGGCAACAGAGGGAAACTAACTGCTATGCCAAGCAGTTATCAATAATGAAATATCTAAATGGATACTATTAATATCTTTTCTTAAAGAAAAATGACTTTTATCTATTTTTCTGTTACATTAACAAATGATATCAGATAGTGGCTGATTAATGTTGAACGGAGCTATAGTAGACGGCTAAGTCAGTGGAAACTGATTATTTTAAAATGGTTACAAAACTGCGGAAATAAGGTAAGAAAATTATACTTATTGTATTATAATAAATAAAACAGTGACATACTTTACACAAAAAGACAGTGATAATATGTCATACGTGGTAAAGAAGCCACACTGCCACCGGCTGGACCGGGGAAGGACCACACTCTCATAGAATGTCACCATACCAAAATAGCAGCCTAATGCTGCTGTGTTTGGTATGGTGAGTGCAGGGAATCAAAGACCCTTATACCTGGAAACGAGGCTTTCAATCTTACGTATCAGTTGTGACGACGTATCTACATTTTGATTCTCAAGGATACATCTATGAGCCCCAACATTCACTTACCATCAGACTCATTACCTTTTTTCTTATAAAAAAAAACTTGGTAATGTAACTCACCGACAATGGTTCAAATTGGGTGTGAATGTAAGGCTATAATTTTAGTTTAGCCATATTAAAATTTTAGGCTATTTTATTTTTAAAATTTGAGTTTGAAGCATTTTATGTACGACGACGCAAAAGCGTACTGCAATTATTTAAAATGATCTTTTGTGTTGTTGCGTGAACATGATGTCTGCATACCATTATTTATATGTCGGTTTTTATGACAGTCGCTTTAACGTAGGCGACACTTTATTACCTACCAGTTGTTGAGAAAAATGTATTTGTGTGAATTTTCTACGTGATAATATTTGTCAAGCATATTAAATTAAGTTTGCTACCGGTTACTCGTATAATGCTAACTTCAAATTAAATTATTTGCTGATCTGATTTAGTCCAAACAGTTTTCTATTTCATTGCGATGTTGAATCAAGCAGCTGATTATTAGTGAATCAGTAAAAATATATATTTTCAAGAAGATTTTAAGTACGCTTAAAATTTATGATGAGTAATAAATTACATACAAAAACACTTTTACTATAGGAAAGGATTCCAAGCCAGTGAAAGTGTACTGCTGGACACGAGAATCTTCGGTTGGGAAGGTGGCAGGTAATATCTCTAAACAATGTCAGCAATAAATTATGTTCTACTGTCGAGTTAACTGAAGATCCGAATAATAATGTTTAAATTGAAAGAAATCTGAATAATTTAAATTACAATCAGTTACGCTTAGGAACAATTCGAATGATATTAAACAGTTCAGCCTGATTGTTTTGTCAACAAAATTAATCCCTTTCCAATATCCCTATCAACGAATAGAGTCGTAGTTCCATATATAGATTGAATTCTTGCGAATTTCAACACACACAGCTTAAGGGAATATAAATTAAATTGAAACTCAAGTCTAACATGAAAATTTCCTCCATAATAATATAATAAATCTGTACAAAAATTGTGTGTTCACGATTCAACAAAAACTACTGAACAGATTTCCATGAAATGTTGTATGTAGACAGTAAATGACCGCATATAACATATAGACAATTTTTATCCGCTTACGGAAGAGTAAAAAAAGGGTTATGTTTTCCATATTTTTTAATTTATTGTTATTATGGCTGCTGATAGTTCTATTAGTTCTAAAGAGGATTTAGCTATGTGTTTGATAAATCTATAGAAAAGTGTGTGTGAAAATAAACTCATCGCGCCACCAATCAGTAAGGGCACAATAACGTCTGCAGGGCCAGCTAGTTTCTAAAATATACCAAAAGCTTAATCTATTTTCATCATTCATATGGTTTAAATAGTGTAGGAAGCCAGAAGGTGGAGGTAAACAAAAGGGAACAACATTGTTCTTCAACATGCTTCATCATCATCATTACAGCCTTTCATAAGTCCACTGCTGAACATAGGCCTCCCCCAAGGAATGCCACAAAGCACGGTCCTGCGCCACCTGCATCCATCGACTTTCTGCATGTCTTACCAGGTCGTCACTCCATCTCGTTGGGGGTCGCCGTACACTTCGCCTACCGATACGAGCCTGCCACTCGAGAACCTTTCTTCCCCATCGGTTGTCGGTTCTTCGAGCTATATGGCCGGCCCACTGCCACTTCAGCTTAATAATCCGTTGGGCTATGTCGGTTACTCTGGTTCTACTGCGGATATCCTCATTTCTAAGTTTATCACGCAGAGAAACTCCGAGCATAGCCCTCTCCATAGCTCGCTGAGCGACCTTGAGCTTCCTCATACGGCCAGGAGTGAAGGACGACGTCTCAGATCCGTAAGTCATCACTGGCAACACGCACTGGTTGTACAATCTCGTTTTAAGGTTTTGAGGTATGTCTAACGAGAAGATGTGTCGTAGTTTCCCGAACGCTGCCCAGCCGAGTTTAATCCGTCTATTGACCTCTCGGTCGAAGTTGGACTTACCTAGTCGGACTATTTGTCCAAGGTAGACATACTCGTCAACAACTTTGGCTTAGTGCTCCCAACAACTACCGGCATAGATGTGACATGGACGTTAAACATGATTTTTGTTTTGTCCATGTTCATCTTAAGACCTATCCGTTGGGAGGCACTATTGAGGTCATTGAACATAGTGCTTAGGTCCTCCAGGGATTCTGCCATAAGGACTATATCGTCGGCAAATCAAAGGTGAGTGATGTACTCGCCATTGATGTTGATACCGCATCCTTTCTAGTCCAGCAGCTTGAAAACGTCTTCCAATGCAGCGATGAAGAGTTTCGGGGATATAACGTCACCCTGTCTTACACCTCTCTGCAGTTGGATAGGTTTCGTTTTCTGATTATGTATTCAGATAGCCATCGTAGCTCTAGTGTACAAACACTTCAGCACTTCGATATACCGACAGTCAACTTGGCACCGCTGAAGGGACTACAGCACCGTCCAAATTTCGACGGAATCAAAGGATTTCTCATAGTCCACATACGCAAGGCA